ATTGCCACTGCGTGTTTACCGTGAATGACGAACGCGAGCCTCAGACCTGCTGCGCTCGGTTGTGTGTAGGCAGGGCAGTAAGAAGATAAGGTGGTGAACAATGGGGGTAGGCATCGAAGCCGATGTGAGGCACCGGAAAGGTCTGGGAAAGGAGGCGTACTGAGGCGTCGCCTCGGCGCTAATATTGCCGCCATCGCTGGTCGATTGGGTCGCGCTGGACACTCGTCTACGAGGAGGTGCACTCTGCCAGGAGACGAGCGCCATATTGTCGGGAGCTTGGTCTGAGAACCGGCGAAAAGCACCGTGCAGGGTGACAGCACCGTATTGTCCCAGTCTGCGCCGTTCTTTTCCAGGTCCCTAGACTGCAGACCGGCCAGAGACACAGGCGCCATGTCGTCCGCGGATGATTGATCAATATTTTATTGTTACAAATGCATGGCGCTGCGTGTATGCTCGTCTTGCAAATAGTTTCCGGGCCTTCGCGGGATGAATAATGCCGCGGGTTGTGGATGTATCGACGGACTGGACTGGGGCAGCATTGGCATTCAAGGGAGTCCAAAAGCGTGGATGAGGGTCGGACCTGGTCTCGAAGTTGAATGGAGCAAGCGGGCTACAGTGGACTGGGGACTGGTGAAACTGGACCGCCTGTGAATACCCCCCTAAAACCTGGATTAGGACTAAAAGTACTTATGTTGACTTGACAACCCCCGATATCCTAGTAGGTAATATTGTAACGACGTTGTAGTGCTAAATAACTAATGGTTATGCACTATAATGCCACTTACCATGGACCCCCTCGTATACTGACGGTCTGGGAGCTAAAACTCTTTCTTATGTAAACGGATGGGTATAGCTGATGTTGGATAGGTGACGGATGGGTATGGGTACCGCATGGGCAGTGGGTGGGTGCGGGGTACGCCAGGGCTAGTGGGCGAATTAGGTAAAGAAAAACTTAATCGAAGGCATTTAAGTTATATATCTAAGTGCTATATTTTTCAACAGCAAACCTTAGTAGCCTCTACATTAAAATAACTGAGAGAGAATACCATTTACGTACAAATAACAGGATACACCAAGTACTGTTCATGCCTTATTTAGTCTAGCTGCCTTCTTTCTGCTTCCGTTATAGAGACACTGCAGTGTTAA